GGACATAGGGGGGTATTGTAGTTGATATAAGTGCTGTGACATGCAGATCAACGGATGTAGCAACACTTACTGGAGTCTGGCCTTTGTTGTTTCCAATCGTCATTTTATCGAAGTTAACTACACACTTCCTCGGTAGTAGATAGTCCAGTCCTAATATGCATTGGTCTTCAGTGTCAGCCAAGTATACTTTCTGTCTGTTTTTCTGCCCATGAGCTCGATAGTTACTCACACTGGTCCCCACAACCTTGCCGAATGTCCTGTCACACCACAGAGCTTCTGTACAGCTTCTGGTACTCCTTTGTTATCCAGAACCTTGATGCTCACAAGGGTTTGATGGTTGGTGCTAAGGGACGCCCACCAACCTCCATCGTGAAAGTCCCAACAGCTAAGTGTAATATGGCAAGCACACATAGTATCTACGTGACAGGGAAGCTGGATGGCCAAAGGTGCAACTTTGTCATAGATTCTGCATCTCAGTCAGCTTCGGGAAACCAGTAGTTATTGGTGGTATTTTTCTTACACTGGCTCCTCAGATGTCCTTGCTCTCCACAGATCCAACAGCCATTCTGGGTAGCAGCCTTTACTGCTGTATCGTCTCCACTGTGCTGAAGTTTCCAACATTGAGCTCTCTTGTGCCCAGGTTTGTTACAGTGCCAGCAAAGTCCCTCAAACTTCTCTGAAAGCTGACCTTTTCTGGCCTTGAATCCAGATGACTGTACCAACCTCGGTACATCTGTGCTGGACTTAACATAGAATTCAAATTCGAGAGCTCTGTCCATGGCATCCTGCATGGTAGAGGGGTGTGCTTACTTCACTTGTATCTTAAGTTGTGGACTGTCCAAGGCATCTACAAACTGATCCCTCAGCAACAACTTGAGGAGATCGGGTGGTGTAGTTCGGTAGGCCTTGTGTGTTATGCTCTCCAAGTGCTGTGCCAGCTCTTGCAGGCTCTCCCCTTTAACATGGACTCTCGTCCTGAACCTAGCCCTGTAGACTTCTGACTGATTTTGGGTTCCGTACCCGAGTTCTAGAGCTGCTACCAGTGCTCTATACCTGGCCCTGTAGACTTCTGACTGGTTTTGTATTGCAAAGTTGTATTGAGAAAAAATAAACTAGTTTTATTTAAGAAAGGACTTGTATCGCTGAAGTTCCTCGGAAAGAATTTTTACGGGAAACAAACGACCAGAGACGTAACAAATTGGTGTCAGACAGTGCGAATGAAAAAGAAAAAGAAGATGGAAATGAGAAGTGGCAAATCAAACTACAGCTTAGCAGATTTGAAGGCAGCAATATAAGAACAGCAAAAGAAAAAAAAAGAACGAGAAAAGAAACAAGAAGAAAGATTACAGCAGTTGTTGTAGGAAAAAGAAAAGAAAGTAGAAGAGAGCTTACAGCAGTTGATGGAGGAAAAGAAAAGAAACAAGAAGAAATATTACAGTAGTTGTTGTAGGAACAAGAAAAGAAACAAGAAGAACAAGAAAAGAAACAAGAAGAACGAGAAAAGAAACAAGAAAAGAGACAACGGCAGTGGCAAGAAGACCTGCAACAGTGGCAGCTCGAACAGCAAAATAAATAAGAGATTACAGCAGCTGTTAAAGGAAAAAGAAAAGAAACAAGAAGAAAGAGAAAATAAAGATGAAGAGAGAGACTACAGCAGTGGCAACTGGAACAAGAAAGGAAACAAGAGTACAAATGGAAAACTTTAGTAAATTTCAAAGTGAATTAAATACATTAACAGATGATTTAATGTCTTTTACATAAGGAGGATATATTAGCCATCGACCTAATCAGCCTCAGACAACAGGAAGCTCCTTCCAGACCCCGCAGCTAAACCCTAATGCAGACATATTCAGTCCTGTCAGAAGTCACATTCCAGACACGAGTGTCAGCAATATGGGTGATCTAGTATGAAGGAAGCCACAGGAATTCGATGAGAAGACACCATGGGAAGCATATAGAGCACAATTATAGCTACTGGCAGAAATTAATGGATGGACAGAGGAGCAGAAAGCAGTGTACCTGGCAACAAG